GGAGAAACAGCAGGGGGCGGTGCTGGAGGCAGCGGAATTGGCGGGACTGCCGGCCGCTGGAGCAGCAAGGGTTTCTCCTGATCCTGGAGTGAGGCAGAGGAGGAGGCGGTGGTCCCTCCTCTGCTGGCTCATGTTATGACTAAAAAGTTATCTATTTTTTTTAAGGTTGCAGAGTTAAAACAAGTTGAACCAGTTGCTGTTAAGTTAGCTTCATGTTGCAGCCACCTCTTGTTGGGAGTTCTTCTTCAATTACCTGTTAATGGTTGGTGACTAGCCATTGTCCCCCTGATGCTTGCCAGGGAATCACACCAGACCCCACAGGTAGCAGGGCCAGGGGAGTGACATCAGAGCTAGTATGCAGATGAGAAAGCATTTCACCAATTTTGTAATTTTCCAGGAAAAAAACCCTAAAAAAAATGAGCCAACATAGAATAGACCTAAGTGATGTCTAAAGATGAGGAACTTAATCCAGTGTCTGCTAAGATCCTTTTTACTTCTCACCCTAACCTAAAAAGATGTTAACTAGAGAGAGGACCTGAAATGTTAGACCGAAAAAGTGGAATCTCCTAATGTCCTGTGAACACGGAAGCCCCAGCTCTGCCTGCAGAGCAGCGGACACAGCTGCATCATCCTCCTCCTCCTCCGTGCCACTCCTGGGAGCAACAGCGGCATGGGCACGACCCGTTGGTTTCTCCCCACCTGAGCTGATTCTTTTTAATTAAGGCATTAAGAAGGAGAAAGATCTCCTGCCCCATGTACTTATTTCAGGAGGGGGCTTGGAGCAACATGGTCTAGTGAAATGTGTCTCTGCCCATGGCAGCTGGGTGGAAGAGGATGAGCTTTTAAGGTTCCTTCCAAGCCAAACCATTCAGGGACTCCGTGGTTCCAACTAGAGGAGGCAGCAGCACCTCTACCCACACAGTGGTCTGGAATTGCTGACGGTTTCCACACAGAGTCCCCTCACTTTGCCCAACTCCAGCCCTTTGTTTAATGCCCCTCACGGTCCTTCCTTCCCTAGAACATTTTGGAGGCTGTTTCCAGAGATGCATTTGTAACTGTATCTCACTCCAAGTGCAGCAGTCCAGGGGAGGATTCTGACCTCTCCAGACTTCTGCTCAGCCTGGCTGTGGCTGTCGCTGGCTCAGACTGGGACTGAGGCAGGTTTTCCACGGAACTGGAGATCAATAAGGACTGGTGCTCTGGAAAGCAGGGACCTGCAGGGATTGTTTTTTGTGAAGGTGAGATGAAATTTCTGAAAGTAACACAAAATTCAAATTCCTGTAGTTTTTGTGGAGGACAGGAGAACTAGATCAGAACTGGCTTTTGTGGTAAGAGGGTCTGTGGAGCTGCATCCCTGCATTTGGAGTGATCTGTGTGATTAAAATGAAGTCACAGCCCCAGGGGCTGATGGTTTCTGCTCACTCCTATCCCGAGCTGTCCCCAGCATGTTGCCAATCCAGAGGGATCTGCTCTGTTTTCAGACTGTCCCCAGTGCCTGAGACACAGAGAGAGCCCTGGCCAAGTGGCCAATGCCACTTAAATAGAAATGAGGTTTGCCAGACTTGATGTGGACAGAAACTACTCTGTGCTTAAGTTTTAAATTTTTGAGTAAATTTTGGATGCATAATCTCTTAATTCTGCCTCCAGGGAGAGGGATTTTCCTCACCCCTATTTACAGATTGTTCTATAGAAATGCACATAAGTTTATGAAGGAAAACAGGAAGTAAAGAGCAACACCCCATGCTAAATGAGATTATTTTTGACTTGTGGACATTTATTTTGTGTTAAACCTGCCCTTCCCAGTGTACTTTGGTGTTTTAGCTATTTTGGAATCATTTCAGCCGATTCTTTCCAGTGAAAACGAGAAGGTGGGGATGAGTGACCAACATCCTGGGAAGGGCTGTGGGTATGCCTGGATCAGGAGCAAATGGTCAGGGCCTATCTTCTCCTGTTTGGAGGCCAGATGTGGCAACACCACAACACTGCAGTGCAGGATCAGTGCCATGGGGAAGGGCTGCACAGCTGCCCTGAGCCCCAGCCTCTGCATCAGCAGGAGTGGGTGGGTAGAACTGCAGCCTCCTTTGCTTCCTTGTGTGTGAACAGCCAGGTTTTGTTTGCAGGGCAAGGTGTCTATCCTTCCTCTTCTCCCCAGTATTTTCTTAATAAGGTGGTACCTGGCTGGCAAGATCTCACATCCTCCCCTCCCCATGCCATCTGTATGAGGTCTCCCATTCTAGACAGCTTTGGTCTGCCACACCATATTACACAGCCTCTCCTCCCTCTATGAATGATTGAGCAAGCAGAGGGAACCAAAAGAAATTTTATAGCTTTCCATCTTCCTCACCTGTCATCAACACCGGCAACCCTCACTGTAAGGATGTTTCTAGCAGAGGACATTTCTTTATGTTCCCTTCTGAAGGAGAAAGGCCAAAACTAAGATGGTGTTTGATGTGATGCTTGCCAGGTCCCCCACGTTGGGGGCATTTCATTAGTATTTGAATGGTTACTCTTAATGAAATTTAATAACCTTCCTGGCAGTCTTGGAAGAACAGATTCAATAGCAAGGTAAGAATTAAGAGCAGATGATGACCCAGTACTGGGAAAGAAAGGAAAGATTTAAAAGCTGCTGGAGGAAATATTATTGCTTCAATAAAATGTGTCGCATGCCAGGCTGCAATACCTGGGACAGATTTGCCAAGGCTGTTTATGTGGGACAGGTTTGCCCCGGGAGATCAAATGCTGCATCCTGGCAGCAAATGATGCTAAAGCCAGTTCAACAGGAGGGACTGCACACACTGTGACTGACTCTCTCAATTTGAAAGAGATCATATACAGAGGTCTTTTTCTTGCTAAAAGTAGCTAATTATAAAAATGCACTGACTCTTTGCTTTATAGCAGATATTATGAATAATTTTGTTCATCGGATTTTTAAAATTTGTGTTGTTAACTCACTCCTAGTCTCCAGAGAGTAAGGATTTTAAAAGCCCATTTGTTCAGGGAATTGACAACTGTAGATTTTTTTCTTGTGAGTTTTTAAATTACACCTAGATTTAAGCAATTACTCAGAATTAACCTTCAAAAGAATAGATCTATCCCAAAGTTCAGATAAGGCAGCAGGAAAAAAGGCAGGATGGAGATTAACAGAGACTTCTTTCAAGTCTATCAATGACAATTTTCTTTTTGTTCCACCAGGAAAAATAACATCCAGTTATTTTCATGTTGTAGTGTTCTCTTACCTACCCAGATTTCCTACACTGGCTTATTAGTACCTCATTATGTAGATGACCTTCCTGACAGCCTGAGAAGGGGTCTGTGGAACCCATGCCTCCTAAGAGCTGTAGGCTGACAAAGGCTGCATATAAAATATCCTCATTTGCTGAAGCCAAATCAAGTAATTCCAAATGAGGCATTCAGAACCAGTGAGTACCTTTGACTGGGGTAGTCTCCCTGAGCCTCAGATTGAAATACAGCCTACTGGTCTCACAGCGTTCTCATGAAGGTTTATTATTTAATCTATCTGAAGCTCACAGTTTGTAATTAAGTCTTCAATTGAAAAGAAAGAAATCAATAATGCTGGATGCAGGGACTAATTTGCAGCAGGAATGTTCTAGTACTCCACACTAAACATAGGAGGTAAGACCAAATACTAAAGTCTGAGAGCTCTTTGTTTTGCACCCTCAGAGAGGCAAGAAAAAATATCAGATGAAATTAAGAGTAATACACTATATAACCACCTGAGGGTCAAAGTAATGCACTCCTGGAGCAGCTACTTACACATAATATACACTTTTATTAGACTGTCTTATGTGACTGATTCTAACATCTTCCTTTTTTGTTTTCACAAAAATATTTTAACCTTTCAGTCACAAAGCTAAGGCAGATAGCTTGCAAGCTATATCAGTTTGGATAATTATTTGAAATGGCACTGGTACAGCCCTAGTCCTGCAAATGCCTGTTGGAATACCAACAGAAGATTTGATCTCTTTTCCCTTCTCTCCAACACCATTTTCCATGCAAAGTAAATGTTACGGTCGCATTTCTGTGTTGTTCAAGAGTTGCTATTTTAGTCTTTTAAAGGAAACAAAGCTCGGCACCAGCTTGCTTTCAGTGTTTCTGCTCTAGCCCTTGTCATTTTTCCTGTTTCCCCATCCCTCAAGAATTAAAACTGGTTTGTGCAAATAGGAGATAGCCCGGAACAGCTTGCAGGAAGATCTTGTACCCTTGTGTGTTCCAGAGTCCAATGCTCTATCAGCACATGCTCTAAATAATGAACTACCTTATCAAGGGCTCTAAGCCAAATAAGTAGTAACCAGGAAGAGGGCTTGAGAAGGCTGCTGTAGGAATGATGGAGGAGTTTGGCTATAAGGAGAATTAGAAACACTGCAAGGAATGTTGGAGACAGGAATGCAAGGAGACAGGAATGGTGGTAGGAAATTGTAGGTACTTTGAGAAGAAGATTTTGGTAGCTGGGGAGAATATTCTGAGGAGAAATTGGAGAGATGCCAGTAAAAAATACAAGCTGCTGCTTGCAAGTTTCCATTCAGATACTGCAGGGAGTTGTAGATGTTCTAATTTCATAGCATTAGGAAACCATACAAAGCCAAGACAAGCAAAAGCATGGTTCCTGTATAGCTGCACTGCCCTGCAGCCTAATATGGACACACATTCATCCATATCCCTACTCAAGTCTTGTACCATTGGACTTAGAAATGGCCTCTATGAGACAAGCTAAGTTAGGAATTTGAATGCTGTAAAACAGACAGCTGGTATCTCCAAAAGCCATGTTTATGCAGATAGTTAGAATTACCATTTTTACAGAATGCTGAGTTACTACTTTAGGCTGCATTTGAACTGGGATAAAGCAGATAGCCTTCCTTTGGACCCACTAGAGTGCACATGGCTTGTGGGGTTAATTTTTGTAACAGACAATCGCTATTTTGGTTTTAGGTCCCTGGCAATCTTTCAGAAAATAGCCACAGACAAAGTTTTCTCCAGCAAGAGAAATAACTTTATTTTTTATCCTACTTTTAAAAGAAAAAGCCAGGTGTTCCAAATGGAAAGCATATGGCCTCTAGCTAGGAAGCAGTATGTAGTTTGTTGCACAGGATCACAATCTGGACTTTTGAAACTGAAGCAAATTAAAGTTACGTCTTACTGAAGCTCCCAGACTCTGACCATAGATGTTTCACTGGTGTTCCTCTGCCTAGCTGCAGCTTCTAGACAGCACTTCTGTGGTGAGTGGTCTTGTACCATATTACTAAGGGATGCTGCCATACACTTGTTTAGACTATCTAGGTAGGATTAGTTTCTCTGGGGATTTTTGGTTTTTTTTTGGTTTTTGGGGTTTTTTTGTTATTCTCACTGCTGTAAACTACCTCTTTTGGCCATTTCTGAGTTCTGTAGTAGAACCGGAGAGCTGGAGACTGTCTGTTTAAATTCATGTTTCCATCACTAGTCCTGAGAGTAAGGACTTCAGCAGGGTGGTTGCTAAACAACAGCTTCCATAAGAGAAAGTAGAGGAAAACCAAAACCTTATTCCAAAACATTACTGCATGCAGCAAAGCTTGTCTTCAGTGTACTTCTCTCCAAAATCTAGAGGAGGTATGTCTTGCAGTTATCCTGGATGTGAATGATTGTGGAAGTTAGACCAATGTAAACCTATTGAATTAATTATAGTGAGCAGTTCTAGAAATAGTTTAATTTTCTATTTCCTGGTAAGTCACTCATTCCTGGAAGGATCAGTATGCCTTTCTCCAGAGCAGCAGTGAGCCATGCTGTAATATAAAGTAGCCTCTGCTTTTCTAGAAGATGAAGGAGACATTTGATTTCTATGTAACATTTTCTACAGTCTCTTGTATTTCACTTTGGAATAATTTTGGATTTTGTCTTGGAATTACTATAACGGAAATGCATAGAAAGCTTCACCAATGAGCTCAGAAAATTTTTGTAGTGGATGAGGCCTGGGTAGGAAGAACAAAAGGAGTAGACTTGCTTTCTTGGTCCTTTTAGAAGAGGCTAGCCCAAGCATGCATGGCATTAAGGATATTATTTAAACCTGTTTTATTTTAAGAAATGTTCACAGCTATTGCTAATAAATACCAAGATGAGGTGTTCCCCGCTGAATGAAACCATCTTCGTATTGGCTGCTTTTCCATTAATATGACAACAGCCCATACACTAACAAAGGTGGCTGTTGTCCTTACTTTTGATCACTGCAAACAGCCAAGGGGTGTAGATGGCATTCTTCTGGGAACCTTCAAACAGGAGTAGTTTGTTCCAGAGTAACAGCTCCTGGCCATCACACAGGCGTGAATTTTACAAAGCTGAAAATGCTGTGTTTAGCAGGATGGCCTCCTTAGGTTTCAAGAGAAGCAAACTCTCAGTTTAAGGCTTCCCATACTGATCTGTGCTGGCACATTGAATCCCTTGTTTTCAGAAATTACCACTTCAGTAGGTGATTGTGATATAGCACTTTCACTGTTAGGATTGCAAGGCCCTGAAAACCCAACCACACAACCACCAGCTTCCCGGAAAGGAGGCGGGATTTTATTTTTTTCCAGTAATAGCTTTTTTTCATTGCTTTTTTATGTATGCAAAAGTATGTTTGAAATATTTTTCCTTAAATTGTATTTATACTGTGCTACATAGTATTACTTCTTTATACACAATCCATCTTCTCAAATAAGCAGAAATCTAACAGCATCTAGGTTGGCAGTGATGACTTGAAGGTTATGGGTAGAACTGGGGACTGAGAAAGGTATTAAAGCTGAAACAGAAACGTTCATTGTGCATTTATGTAACTACAAGTTTGGTTGCTGTTTCAGAGACATTGCAATCAATTGAATGGTCTGTCTTTACTCTTTCTGTCAAGAAATCAAGGTGGATTTCTAATTGAGAATACAGACTGTTAAAACAAAAAAGGTAGGAGATTATGTTTTTTGCAGGTTTTTTTTTTATAGGCTTCCTCTGTACAAAAAATAAACGAGAAGGTGCTCTCCTCCTTCTAGAAGAAATTCAGAAAGTGACTTTGAAGATCTGAAGTCCACATCTTAGCTGGCAAAGTAGGTATCACTGTCTCTGAGCTGCCTAAGCTAAATCAAGAGTGAGGTATGATAGCAGTGGGATAACAAGGGATCAGGCACGGATCATTAAAAAAGGGACTTGGGAGTAGATTAAAACCCCACACCCTACGATCAAAGCAGAGGCTGAATGGACCCAGTTTGTTACGTTGCAAGGCCTTTGGGCTGGTTGGGGGCCACGCTGAAGTTGATAGAAATGTTGGTTTAGAAACGACATGACTGTGTGCACGTGGCTTGCTAGTAAAATTGCATGTTAGAGCTCTGGAGCCTTATGCATGAGAGGGAGAAACCCAGCACATATGAGTTTGTGGTTTTGAAAAGGTGTATGTCTTGGTTCATAGCATGCCAGTGCTATAGAGCTATAGTCAGGCCACATATTACATATCACAATGCAGCTGGGATGTTGCTTTTGTGATGGGTGGGTAGGTTTAGAAAAGAAGCTGAGAGTTACCTTATCTTGAGCTATCTTCTCTACCTTGAAGCATCTGGGAAACTGAATTTCAATAATTTGTATTTTGAAACTTATGTGTTCTGAAGTTTCCTACAAAATAGCAACATTGAGGGGAAAAAATTACGATGTTTTGGAAATAGAACATCATATTTTCAAAATCACATTTGTTCTTTGGTAGTGCTGCAAAATGTGGAATATGTCAAGATTATCTGAAGTCGGGATGTTCTTTGATGTAAGATCTTTGTGTATTTTCAAACCTAGTCAGCCGTCTGCAACCTTCACTGGGTACTGGCATGAGGAAAAGCAATTAAGGACATATTGATCTCTGCGCCAATTTCAAAATCTACCCTCGGGAGTCTGACCTACTTTGGACTAAGCTTGTTCATTGGCAGTCTCCTCCCTGCTCCCAAAAGTAGCTGCATCAACAAGGACACTGCTGCTTTGCCAGATGAAAGTGGGGAGATATTGATGTCCCCCAGGCTGGATGGAGCCCACAGCTGGTAACACTTAGGGGGATGCATTAGTTCTGGGCAGATACACACAGCTGCCTTCATACCATACATTCTCAGCCCAACCCAGAGCCGGAACCTGCTAATAGAGGACCTGGAAAAAGCTGGGCAAAACCTTTTTATTTATTTTTAGATCTGTCAGGACAGATCTAGCCTGGAGTCCTAGAGAGACTGTAACTATGGTGTAATCTGCAAGGCCTTTGCTTTTTGGAGTCATTTACAAAAAGGAAACAGATGAAGGCAGCAGCTTTTGCCTCCAAGTTGAAACAAGGTACTGCAGATGTTTCTACAAAGAGAGCAGAGGCACTGGGCAGGAGAAGGCTGCTCAATGCAGGGGGCTGGCTCTACATCACCACAACCTGCCCCATAGTCCAGACACCAGTCCACTGCAGATGGACAGCACAGGCTGTACAGATGACAAAAGAAAGGTGTACAGTTCTCAGTCACCCTAGAGCTGTCCTGCATGGATCTCTCCCTCCCTAGCACCTGCCAGTCCTTTTTCTATTTCCTTCTGGGAGGCTTCCTCCTGAAGCAAGAAAGGATTTGATCTCTTTTTGCCCCAAGAACTGCAACACAGCAGTAGCCACAAGTGAGATGCTTTTTCTCATGTAAAGCAAAACCCCAACTTGAATGCAGCCCATCCTGTCAAAATTCCTTTGATTTTCCTGCAATTTTTCCAGATGGGAGAAGGAAAGTAAGGAGTGCATTTCCCTGCCAGAATTGTTTGTTAGGAATCAAAATGACTGCAACATCTACTGGGTTATTATTTTATATTATTACATATATGAATAAGAGTATGCGTATGAGTCTATATCTGGGCTATATGGGGGATGCTGAATTTAAGCGGCAAATACCTCTCCCTCACCTTCTTCCATCTGTGTAACATTAAACTGTCATGTATCATTAGAAGTTGGGCTGTTAGAGGCACCTTATGATTGAATGCTTGAGGGGTAACTGTATTCTGTCTCTGATATCCTGGGAAAAATCTCCAATAATCCGTTTCCTCTGAACTGGGATGTAACAATAAGGAGGAAAAACTTAAGTTCTGCCCACTACTAAAATTCATAAACTTTACAGGTTCTAGGTCTGAAAATAATATGATGAAGCAGATTGGACCTCTAGTAACACTGCCAGAAATGAGCAAAGCACAGGGTGAAAGAAACCAGAAATCCTGCTCACTAATACAATGGACTATTCAGGGGCAGGGGGGAATCAAACATGCTCTGTCTACCTACCCTTGCCTGAGTTTGAACTCTGTTATTCATGAATCATGTACAAATGGAAGCTTGAAGGGCAAGAAGTAGTGCTGGGCTGACAGGAAGAGCACTGGAATGTGATCCAGGTTGTGTAGCCTCTCTCTATCACTGGCCTCAGGTGACCTTGGGCTTTTGACTCCCAGTGCCTCAGTTTTCCCATCTACACAGTAAATTCTGCTCTTCATAAAGGGCTACTAGCAGGGAGGATGAGGGGAGCTGTCTACACTTAGGTAAATATGGTTTTGCTGGTTCATTTTATCTAGAAATACAGTGTGACAAGGGAAAGGCATCCAAAATTTGCAGAGGACAGAGGTGAGGCAGGCTGCGGCAGCCAGGCAAGAACTTTCCCATCAGACTTTTGGAAAGCAGCTTATCCGCGAAACAGCTTGAGACTCAGCCAGGCCCCAGACCTGAGAGCAGCCAGTGGGCAAGTACAGAGGTGGAGCTTGCACTGAGGCTGTTTGTTAGATATAAAATGCTTGGATGGGTCAGTGCTGACCACAGCACCCGGGAAGTGGTGAGAGGAGCTGTGCAGAGAGCAGCACTGGCCATGGGGACAGCAGCCCCAGCCCTTTTGGTACTGCTCAGCCTAAGAGTGACTATTTGTGATGCTGAAGACACCTGCTCAGGTGAGTAAAGCACAAACCTTACTGCCATCTCACTGAGACAGCCTGTTTCATCTCCCCTGTAAGAGAAGGAGGTTGGGAAGGGAGGGGGGAGGGGGGAGAAGTAGCGTATGTTTTTTTTTCCTTCTGTGTTTTTTTTAATTCAGCTGCCAGTGGGAAGAGAGTAAGGTTCAGGCTGAAGTCTCAGCAGCTGCTTAAGAAAGCTACTGGCTCCAACTAGTGATGTAACATTGTTCCCTCACCAGTGGGATGTCTAGGAACAGATGCTCTCCAGTGAGGTTTTCCCCCATGTTTGGGTTTTTTTTAGTAGGGCCTTTGTGCAGTTACCAAAGGCTACAGAGCAACACAAAGGATCAGTCTGGGGATGCTGAACAGCACAGTGCTCTGACTGTATTCCCCAAGACAGCCTGGAGCAATTTCAAACATGCCTGCCATCAGGAAATTCAGAAGAACTCTTACCCTTACTGTCCACAGATCCATCAGTGTCACTTACTCTGTTATCAGTAGCCCATTGGGGCACCTCTCAGCTTTTGTTTTATTAACTACAGTGTACTTGTCATGCATGCAATGTCGTATATATCAGCCTCCTCTCCTACTGAACTCCCCTGAAGCCAGAGAGATGCAGAGTCTGGCTCCTCTAATATGTGAGATCCTTAATGCCATCTGTCAATCCATACAACACCCCGAAACTTCCATACTCATTGCTTTTGATTACACTTCCTCAACTTCAAAGGATTTGGTTTCCTCTCCAAGACATTTCAGAGCCTTAATAATCTTCACAAAGACTGTCTTCATTTCTCAGAGGTGAGAATAGTGGGACTGCGTGATGCTGACCGACTTGCCATTCTTCAAGGATGTCCAGGGATCCCAGGCATCTCTGGCCCAAAAGGAGAAGCAGGTCTCCCAGGAACAAAAGGTGAGGCCCCCAAAGCCAGTGATGAGCACTGTGAGATGAGATGGTTTTGTTGCTTCGCATAGGAGAAGCAAGCTGAGGCTGGAGCAGTAGCTGGCCTGGCACTGGCTGCTGTGAGGAACTGGAGAATTGGAGTGGAAAACACCCCAATTATACATATGCTGGTACACATGGAGTGACCTGTTTCTTCCTTGAGTCCTGTCACAAATCTGATGTGATCTTGGGGTATGAAGTATCTCATTCATTTCTTCTATAGAAAATCGTCCATTTATTTTTTGTGTCTCTATTCAACAGCCTGGGTGGGAGGGAGGCCAAGATGCTTTGCCTGTTTTTTGGGGAACAGTGTTGGAAAGGTACTGGCAACTTCTATTCCAGGGAGCAAGGGAGATGGGGCTCCTTCAGAGTTTTCACAGCCAACTCACAGAGAAGGTGAATTGCATCAGCTGAGCGAGATGATCCACCATAGCAGAATCCATAGACTGGTTCCACGATGTATCAAAGCTCATACGAATTCATATGTGAACTGCAAATTTAGACTTTGAATGGCAGTAGCAGTGTAGTAAGGCTTTAATAGAAAAAGAGGAATAAGGTAAAAGAGTAAAACTAGGTTACAAGACTGGATCTGATTACCTTGGCTCCCTCGTTTCTGTGAAAGCCAAGGCCTAGTTGCCCAGGCTTCTGTGACTCCCCCTCTGATCAGTTTGTAATGTGCACATAAAAAATGAGTCTCTTTGCAGGAGAAACGGGAGACCAGGGATTACCTGGGAAAGCAGGACCACCTGGTGCAAAAGGTAATGTGTAACATATGCAGCTCTAATCCGTAAATGCCCCCAAGCTCGGGACATGCATTGGGAGACTGGGTCTATAGAGATGTACTGCAGGACTGGCCATAGGCTAAGAAACAGTGCTGAAGTAGCATAGGAAAAGCCTGATTTGGGGTATGGCTCTTGCATGGAGTGAACACTAGAAACAGTGTCCTTGAGTGTCTGGGACCACAACAGAGAAGAAGATACCAATCTTCTCGAAATTTCTCACTGACCCTCAAATCAGACCTCTCCCCATCCCCCACTCCTACCCTAACCTGCCTCCAGCACAACAAGCCTGCCCAAATGCCCCCCAGCTCTGAGGAGCTTTGGAGCTCTCTGTGGAGCTTCAGCCCAGGCCTGATGCAGAGGTATCATGCTGAGTGCTTGTTCTGCCAATTGACAGGGGCAATTTAAAGAACATACCAATGGAAAGAATGGTCTTATTTTACTATGAATATAAAGGTAACACAAAAGTAAAATAATACATTCAATAAAACTATATGCTTCGCTTTGGCAACAAGCAGAAATTAGCATCCACCTAATCATTACTATGCAAGAGGCAGGATAGTGATTTAGAAGGATACATTACTAATTGCTTAAATACTTTAACATCATCCAGTCGCTGGGGAGCCCTGTTTCACACAGGACCTGGACAACCCTTTCCCAGCAACTGGGAAAATCCTACATGGTGTGTCCACCCATAGATGAGGTCTCTGGATTTATCCTGAAAGAGAGTCCAGTGTTTATAGGCCCAAATCTGCAAGTCAAAGTGACTTGATTTTATTTTTAGCTCAGCAATGCCTGGATCTGATGGCATGCTTCCCGCTTAGCCAGGGCCAGCGCCCAGAGTCCAGGTCTTGGCTGGGAGGGTTTTCCCCTAAAATACCTTACAAACAAGCCTCTCAGTTGGAAAAGCTTCTCAAAATGATACGTTTCTTGCAGATAGCTACACAAGGTTACAAACAGCTAGCATAAGCATCTTTGTCATCTATTTTTAGGTAAATAATACTGACGGTGTTAGTCACACAATCTTCATGATCCATCTTGTAAGTCTACTCTGGCTTAGCCCTGCTGCTCAGGCCTAGGCACATCATTGCTTTCAGCAGCCTTCAGCATTCAACTTGGTGTGCAGTGCCCACCTGACCACAAGAACGAGATCAAACAATGGCACAGGATGAGGTTTCCTCTGTAATAGGATGAACCTCTGAAGAGGACCATGTCTTTTGAGAAACTGGCTTTCACTGCCCAGGCTTGCTTAGGACCTTCAGCAGGACATGTGCTGCAAATACTGGAAAAGTGTCCCTTCTAAAGAATCCAGCTGCCAGCACAAGGAAACTGTAGGGACTGAGCAGAGCTGACTAACAGGGAAGACATCCCTTTTTACATGCTGAATATGAAGGTATTTCCTGGCCAAAAGCACCCAAGACTTGAACTGAAATTCAGGAGATGGACAAAACCACTGAAAAACCCTGACAATCCCTATTGATCAAAATCTCCTAAGTGCCTGACTGTAAACAGAAAGCCCCTACAAAAAGTCACTGAAATGGAATTGTGAAGCCCCATACATTCCAAGAGATGGAGAAGCAGCTCTCTCTCCTCTGTATCCTGCTCTTCTTGCTGTTCCTGAGAGATACTGCTGATCAAGAGAGCAGCCAGGCTCAGGCAGCAGCACCACCTGGCACACTCAGCTAAGCATTGCAGCTTTGCACCTCTTGACAGTCTCTCTTGTACATTTAAGACATATTGAGGGGCTGGAGCAGCCATTTGTAGAGGCACAGTAATTCACTTGCATTGGATAGTCTGTGATGAGCATTTTCCTCTTGTATTTTGTAGGAGCAGCTGGAGAGCCTGGCTTCCCAGGACTGAAAGGTAAATCTTGCTGTCATGTGAGTTACTTTGTAAACTTCTATCCTGTGCTGTTCTCCTGCATCAGATGACAGCAGTTACAGAGACTGGATGGGGCTGTTTGCTGACAGTTATATCTCATCATAGGCCCTGCCGTGGCGCAGGAGCCGTGGGTAGTCCTGCTCCCAAACCAGATGTTCAGCAACAGTGCTGTCCTCAGCTCAGGCAGCTGGTGCTGCCACCTGGCACCATCAGCTGCAGAAGCCACAAGGCTGAGGGATGAGCCAGATTTGGGCAGAGCTCTTAATATTCTCATGCTATGGCAAAATGCAGAGGCTCAAATGAAATTCAGTTGCTGCTAGTGCAAGAGGAACATGTCTCTACCAGCACTAGCAAAAAGGCGTTAGGGAAACGTTTTTTTTCCCTTATGCCATCATCCTGCATGTGAGGGCCACAGGCACCCACCACTGAGCACCATCTGCACTGTGGCTTCCCTCTCTGGAGTTTGGCTGGAAATCACTGGGTCCAACACCACTGGTCTGGCAGATGATTCTAGTGCTCCAGTTGCCATTGCTGCTCCCAAACCACTGGCTGAAGCCCTGTGCCAGCAGCAGCCTGATGGGACTTGTAACTCTGCCTTTCCAAGGTGCATTGCTTCCTCCCTCCCACACACACCCACTCCTATCCCACATGTCCTAGCCCAATGGGACTCACTGGCACAAACTGTTGGTAGACAGCTCCATGGGCTGGGCAGCAGCAGGCAGAACAGCTGGGTCTAACAGAGATATGTCCTGTGTCAGTCTCACCATTTGGACCTCTAAGCCCTAAAACAGATGCCAGCAGGAAATAGATCATGCCAGGTCCAACAAGCCAAGAGAGGCAAGGCTGCTGCTCCTTGTGCATAACTAGATATTTTATATATATATATAAAATTAATATTTATAGTGCACCCCCCAGTGGCCACCTCATGTACCTCCTGGTCAACCTGGAGAGCTCTTCCCAGTGTCTGAAGCAGCTGGGTGTCATTGCTGTAGTTACAGGGTTTGTGACTTGGCCTCCTACCTGCCTCTCTGTGCTTTCCTAGGTGTGTGCAGATAGGCTGGTGGGTCTCCTCTGGTGGGCCTGGTAGCAGCCAGGACACCTTATATACTGAGCAACACTTCCTGCCTGGTTTCTCTATGCCTTTCATTTGCTTGGTGCAGATGAGTCAAGCACTTCTAACATAACAGCTCTCCAGTGCAGCAGGGTTTGTCATGACATCTCAAGTACTTGCAAAGGGGAGTACTGGGTGTGGAAGGTGGAGAGCAATTGATGGTGTTGTTTATCCAACAGGAACAAAAGGAGAGCCTGGATTTCCAGAAATATGGGGTAAGTTTCATCCTAGGTCTTCACAACACTGGTCAGCTTTACAGAGAGGATGGTGGTGGACTACCTGCACCAGAAGTCAGGAGAGGATAGGAATAGAAACAAGTTCAGAGTGGCATTGAAGAATGGAATAAGGAAGTATCATTGTTATCTTTGCTTCTGACGGACACATGCAGCTTCTGTGAGTCTACTCTGTACTCCAGTCATGCTGGGAAAGTCAACACTCTGAGCACTACCTAAATGTCCTGTCCTCCGTGTGTCCTGGAGGATGTTGATCTGAATTTTTCACACTTGGTGTCCCGATTTCTAAGATGAAACCACTACAAACACCGTTAGAGACATGTGGCTACTTCAAAGGCAGTTCTACTCCTGTACTTGCAGTGACACCTTTAGTACTTGGGGAGTTCATGTGTGTGACAGTGCTCAGATTAACTTATTCACTGGAAGAAAAGAAGAAAAGTAAAAGAAACAATTTTCAGTTGCCCCATCTGTCTCCATGAGCTAAAGTTTGAGGAGAGCTACAACCTGCTCTGGCTACAACTGGGTGATGTAGGGCCACAATAAAGGCTCAGACAGATCAAAGCTCCTGTAACACCTGACAGATTGGGATGCCACTGAACTGGTTCCTTGCTGCCCCAGACACTTCTCTGGGCATATAAAAGATCTGACTAATAGGAAGGAAAAGGAAAAGGCCAAGTCCAGGACCATCTCCCTGCTAGGGAGGTCACAAGACAGCCTGGTACAGCTGTGTATCCATGTATCACACACAGCACACTGAGACACATGCACCACCAGCACCACCATCTCTGATCATCCCCCCCAAGTTTTCCCTAAAGCAGCTACTGATGCAGCTGTAGGTTGGGATGTCTGATAAGGACCATTCAGTCTCCTGTGAATCAGAACTTCTGTCAGCAGGTATGGTTTTGGGGAGGGAAAAAAGTATACATAAGACATGTATATATATACATAAGACATATATATATATATATATTTCAAAAGCATTGTGTTTCTTGGGGAGACCTCAGTGTGGTGTTCCAGTACTTAAGGGATGCTTATAAAAAAGCTGGAGAGTGATTTTTTTTGTTGCAGGGGCAGTGACAGGACACTGTCACTGTGTGATTTACAGAATGATTTACAGCTAAAAGAGGAGAGATTTAGATTAGATATTAGGAGATGGTTCTTTATGCAGAAGGTGGTAAGACCCTGGCACAAGTTGGCCAGAGAAGCTGCAGCTGCCCATCCCTGGAAGTGTCCAAGGCCAGGTTTGGATGAGATTTGGAGCAACCTGGGACACTGGAAGGTGTCCCTGCCCATGGCAGGGGGTGCAACGAGATGAGCTTCAACATTCCTTCCAACCCAGACCATGGGTGATTCTATGATTCAATCCATAATGAGCTGAACACTGTTCACTGCATCACAGGGAGCTGTCCTGTGTCACTAAATCCTTTGCCATCAACTACCCACCCACTCTCTGTGCCCTGCATATTTTCTGGAGCTGGGACAAATTTCTGGATCATGAGTTTGTCATCTTTTCCAGAGCAGCTCCATCATCCAGATCCCCAAAAGTCATTGCAGATGACAGGAGTCTCAGCACCTTAGACCATCTTTCTTGGAAGGTGCCCATCTCCCCTACAACATATGAGCCCAGAAGCTCTACATTAGGATTCTGCAGTAAAAAGAGCCAGCTGGGTGGTGAACGCTCAAAGGCTCAGGGCTGATGTGCTCCCGTGATCAGTAAACACATTATAATTCTTTCCACTTGATCTCTTTGATTTGCACAGAACCAGGGAACTGCCAAGAACTGTTGGCCAAAGGGAAGATTTTGAGTGGCTGGTACACAATCTACCCCCAAGACTGCAATGCCACCACCGTCTTCTGCGACATGGACACGGATGGTGGGGGATGGATTGTGAGTAGGATGAGGAGAGGGAGGTTTACATGTTCCTACAGAGATTCTTGTTAAGGCTGCAAAGGACGGCTCAAAAATAGAAACACACAGCTGAAGTTCATGTCTGCAAGCCAGAGTGAATCCCTCTGGACACAGGGGATTCCCCCAAGACTTGTCTCTGGAAGCAGGCTGAGTGCCACAGACCCACTCCTTGCTTAAATCAGTAAATAATTTCCTCCTCATTTCCAAGGGCATATGGAAGAAATCATCGAGCAAGGGATTCTTGTGGGGTTTTCTCCCCAGACACCCACAAGAGTGTCCTGATGCAGGGGAAGCATTTACCGTGGTGGCATGTCCCCCAGGTGCTGTGGATGCCTTTGAGTGAGGGATGGGACTGAGGGTCTCTTTCAGGTTTTTCAGAGGCGCTGGGATGGGTCAGTGAACTTCTTGAGAGATTGGGATTCGTACAAAAGAGGCTTTGGCAACCAGCTGACAGAGTTCTGGATGGGGAATGACAACATCCACTTCCTCACCTCTCTGGGTAAGGTCTGCCTCTGTCCCGGGCTGGGGCCATGAGAGTCCAACCCCTATACCACATGGAGTCATTGCAGATCTGAGTTTCTCATATTCATCTCAGGCCCCCACTGTTAATCCCAAACAGGATGCAGGCTCTTGCAGCCTACTGCATACAGGAAACTTCACTCTAAAAAAAAGCAAAACTAGAAGTCAGGGAAGAGAATGAGCTGGCTGCATGATCTACCCAGGAGACAGGTCAACACATCTTCCTACTTGGACTGTTTGTGATGGCATCATCTGGTCCACACACAGCCTTGGAGTTACAGCTGTGTGCAGGACTCCTGCCCATGACCACCCAATATCATATCTGAAAAGGTGCTTCCCTAGAAAACCATCAAAGGTATAGGAGGCTCTGCAGGAATTTTAAGTAAATCAAAATCTCTCAAGTAGAGGCAGCTCCTTTCAAGTTAGCTCACAGCACCTTAAACCCTCCACTCTGAAATCCAGTGGCACACCCACCATCTGTCCTGCACCACTGCTATCCATCTTCTCTTCTAGGACCCTGTGAACTCCGCGTTGACCTCAGAGACTTTGAGAACAACTACTATTTTGCCAAGTATGCTTCATTCAGAGTTTTAGGAGAGTCAGAGAAATACAGACTGGTTCTAGGAGACTTCCTTGGTGGAAACGCTGGTAAGTTTGAGGCAGCTCACTGGGAAAGTCTGTTTCCTAGAGCATTTTAGAAATGTTCAGCTTCTATGCAGAGATGTATCATGCACACTCCTTGTATCAGCTACATTTTGGGTAATTTTTTAAAACTGGCTATGGTATCCCAGGTACTGAGTGACCTCTGGGTACAGGGGTGGAGGGGGACACGCATCACCCAAAGAAATGTGACTCAGAGCATTACCTTCAAGCCCAGCCCTACGGTTTAACAGCAAATGAGTCTGGTCCTGAGCAGCACCCAAACCAATTGACCTTCCCAACAGTTCTGCATCAGCCAGGTCAAGGTCTGCTTTTGGTTACATTGGCAGGAGACATTTGCCCAGGAGGTCTGGCATTTCAAGGGCTGGGGTGCTGTTCAATACCTGCAGCATCAGCACTCCATCCTCTTAATACCTGATGTTTAATTTTTTTTAAGTAAACAAATCTTCAAAATTCAATATCCATCATTCAGGAATGAGTGAAACCAACACCTGAGAGAGCAGTGCTCTAGGTTTATGTGGCTTTGCAACCCTGTCTGGTAATTCAGACCTCAGTGTATCTGCAGAGAACCTGAGCATTGCAAAAGAAGTGACACCTGTGTACCTGTGAAAAGAATCTGGCCTATTTGATTCACAGGTATAGATAAATTCTCCATGTGTTTTAGCAGAGCTCAGGATACTTTTGTCCAAGATGAGGAAGAAACCTGGGCAAGAGAGCAGCAGGCTTTATACAACCTGCCTTACACCTGGGAAGGGCCACTGGTGCCCAGCAGGGGTGCACAGACACATCAGTGTCCTGTTTGTGATCCCTACTGCAGTAACTGTGAATGTGTGCTCTCTGCAGGGGACTCTTTATCGTATCACAGGGACATGCCATTTTCAACAACAGATCAGGACAATGACATGAGTTCCTTCAACTGTGCCACAGAATACAAGGGAGCATGGTGGTACAATGACTGCCATTACTCCAACCTGAATGGCATGTACTGGATGGGTGCGCATGGGAGCTACGCTGATGGCATCAACTGGAAGACAGGTAAAGAATACCACTACTCCTACAAGCGAACGGAAATGAAGTTCAGGCCAGTTTAACATGGTGACAGGGTGCCTGACTAGATCCAAGAGGTGCCACTCACCCACCAAGAAAAGACACAAAACAATGTTGTTTGGGGACAAAAATGGACCAGAAAGGATATTACAGGTTGTGCCTTCTGACTAGAGCAGGATGTTTGAAGCCAGAAGATATCTGTATCAGGTTTGAGCTCCTGTAAGCACCTGACCCTCTCTCACCCTGACTACCTTCAGCAGCCCCACTGATGCAGACTGAGCCCAAGCACCTTCTTCTGAAAAGTGTGTTACCTTGATTTAAAGACCAGGTGCACCTCAGTAAAGCTCTCTGATGTTATTACTTAAATGGTAATTACTGCTAAGCTCCAGTATAATCCATGTATGTGAAGACTCCAATATGCATGCAGCCTCTTTCTACTGGACCCAAGAGCCATGCAAAAGGCACTCAATTCCTGACCCATCCCAATCTCCCTGCGGGCTGTGATGGAGCCACAACATAGAACAGCATGGAAAAGACTGAGCTTCCAGCACAGCGCTGTCAGCACTACCAGTTTCCCCCTTCTTTCCCCACATGTTCCAGGACCTCAGGTGGGACCCCAGCTCCTGGAACCACAGCAGAGTTGCTCAGCACTTCCCACCAGGACACAGCTGCAGCTGGGCCCAGAGCCATCTTTAGCCATTCTTCCAGGGCATGTTTCTAGATCTCATTAGCTGCTGTGGACCAAGAGCTGTATGCAAAACAGCCTGTTCAGCAGCACATGTGGTACCAAGACACAGTACACATGGTACAGCAGTTCCAAGTCAAGCCTTGCACATGTGGTCATCATGAACAGTGCCAGTACCTTCCACTTTATCTTGTTTCCAGTAGTGTTTGAGGGTGAGCTATCTGCTGGTGGGTGGACACAGTTCACCTGGTTCACGTATTGCATTTGACTAGTAGCAGAACTGGGTCTCTTCTTCCTGCATTTGTGCTGCTGGACTCCTCGCCACAGCTGACAGAGGAGAGCCAAGTACTAACTCTTCACTGCAGGAATAGACAGAGACAGCAGAAATAGAGTATTTCTTTGTGTTATGTTTCTAATGGTCCCAGGTTTATTGCACTGTATATTGCACAGATATGTAGGAAGGGCAGCTCCAGCCCTACAAGACAGAATCCAAACCTTGTGGGTGAGAAAAGTGAGGAGGTCACTCAGCCCGCCACAGCAGTGGTAAGAAACAGTGTGCTAAGAAATAAACCTGAGCGTTTGCATCTCCCCACTCACTAGGTCCTGTCTCAGTTTACTTCTTTTCAGTTACACAAGAAAGAGTGTGTCTGAGCAGAGAAGTGCACACTGAAAGCCCCATAGTTACTTTTCCCTCTCCAGGAGCTCTGTCTTGTTTTTCTGCTACTCCCAATAAGATTCACATGCCCTCACCAGGACAAGGTCCCAGAGCACTATGCTGTATCTCACCCATCTACTGCTGATGCTGTCTTCCAGGAGTAGCTTGTCAGAGGTCCATGGTACTACCAGAGACTTCTCTGCAGAGATGTATAAGCAGGTGCTGATATACTCAGCTATCAACTAGCTAAAAGTGCTAAATCCCCTTTCTCTGCTCACCTCTAGCTTCTCCTCTTACTACACAGAAACATTCAATGTTTAAATTTTGCTTGCAAAGGACACTGATGAGACTTTAAACAAACTACTTACTACACAGAAATAAAAGAATTACTAGTAGATAAAACACAGTGCATGATAAAGGTACCTATATTACATCTAGTAAAGACGTACTATAGATTAAGATTCAATGTAATTTACCACTAAACGGATGATGGAGTACACTTCTAATTCTTCCTCTCAATTCCCAGGAAAGTAACCATGGAATTTGCATCCAAACTCCAGATAGAAGTCCCTGCACGTTTCCAGGGAGTATGTAGGAGGTTTCTACCTCCACGAAAATTTGTGTAGCTTTTATAGTTGTAAAAGTAGTGTCTTTCAGTCAGGAATTTCTAGCTTATCTCCCCACATCTGTTCTCACGCCCAGTTGTTTATTGGGAGTTCTACTCCTGGTGCCAGAGAGAGAAATAACTCACTAGCTTGTGAGCTGGCCTGGGTTATCTCATCACGTGATGTGGAGAGGCGAGTATCCAGAGCTGACACACTAGCTACAGATAAGATCTTCTGTGGCAGGGGGGATGTCCTGCCACACTCTTGTAGGGGTAGCATGTGCAGGAAGATTCTGGCCTTATGCCTGCATAACACGTGCTCACTGGCTGCTCTGCCCAAAAATCCACTCCTGGCAGGGACAGCCCCTCTGTCACCACCAGCCCATCCACTCCTGCCCACAGGCAAGTTCCCATTTTCCCATTACAAAAATCACCCCTAGCTTTTGGTATCTCTGAATCTTACTCAGAGATGGATCTGTCATTCTCCTGCAAAACACAACAAAGTCGCACTGAAGCTCTCATGTATGGCCCAACCATATGCTACTCCCAAACAATACAAGGAGGCATTATTTTCAGAGTAAATTCAAAGCAATGGACACTTACCAGAAGTGCCTTGACTGCTCAAGTTAAGAAAAGTCAACAGTGAAAGTTTAATTTTGGGGGGCAGAGTCCCTCACCAGCACTCACTGACACCCTCTCTCCTCAGGCTACAGAGCTGCCTGGTGGTCCCTTTCACGTGTGCCCACTCCTGCCTAAAGCACGGTGCTGCAGGTCCTGGCAGCAGTCTGCGACCAAGTGCACTTGCAGTTTTGGTGCACCACAGAGCACTGACCATGGCACCTCCTGAGGCTGCAGGGTCCACAGTCCGCTACCTCTGTACAGAGTCGGTCCAGAGAGCAGGGTGGCCACCAGAGCCAGTCTCATGCTGGACAGGCTCTGTGCAGCATAGCCCCAGCTTCCTGCGCAGCTTGCCCTGCTGAGCAGTGCAGTCACATCACTCCTCAGTGAACTGCCATGTCATTGTTACAGTGCCTCCAAACCTGACCTCCTGAAGAATCTTTTCAGGAGGCTGGTGCTGTAACACCGCTTTGTGCAGTTTTTGACAAGCCTGCACATTTATGTTACTGCTTGGTCACCCGGCTGGCACAAACCTGCATGATGCCTCCCAAACACAAGACTCAGCGCTGTGCCACTCCCAGCTCCCTGCACTCCACAGGGACATGGCTTCTCTGTCCCTCCAATGCCATCATGCTGAGCTCTGGCTTAAGGCAGCAGCTAGCACGGCCTAGGAAACATCCACCCAGCACTTTACAGGGATAGCAAAAGACAAGGTCAAACCTTTCTCCTGATGCCCACCATGCCAAACCAAAGTTTCTCTCAGTCAGACACTGCAGCCTTTCTTATCATAATCTCACTGAAGGTGAAAGAAGTTGATCAATAGTTAACTCATGTAAGCATGAGTTAACTATTAAGTCAGCAAATATTACTTACAAGCCTAAGAAGCAGGATGCACCTTATCCTTCTCAAGATAAGAGACACAGAATGCACCTTGTCAAGGTAAGAGGAACAAAGCCTATTATCAGCAGAAAACTCTGAACCAGCCAGCAAAGGACTGCACACGCTTCAGAAAGAAAGATTAAAAGTGCAAAGTGAGGAAGACTACCAGCCTTCATCAGAACAACCACTGAGGAAGACTCGGAGCCTTCCTCAGTGGGACCCCCAGAGTAGACTGTGCTTGCACATGATGTATGCTAATGACATTAATGATTTCTGAGAAGTAATTTGTATCACCACTCCAATCCCAAGTTATGTAATGAATATGCATGACATTTAGCCATATATTGTGCTGTGTAAAAGTGCTGAGTGTGTTAGGAGGAGCAATCCCCCATGTACCCAGCACCAAATAAAGCAAATATCCACCTCACCGAGTCAGTCTCTAAGGTGACTCTTAGCTCAGCATTAGAGCGAATCAAAACAAGAGACCTGTCCCATAGTGTTCTCCTGGGGTACACCAATTCCACAGCCCTGAAGATATCCAGCTGTTGCTTGAAAGCACAGCCTCACCTTCCACTGCTTCAGCTGCCCCTGCCTTCCCTCCTGGGCTGGCAAAGGCCTCTGCACGGACTCTCTTGTGAGCCAGACCTGAAGACCAATCCCTCAGAAAATTAATTCAACAGAAGAAAAGCATACCTCCTTCGCTGCGGACTCAGCTCCCTGGTTCTGCTTTTTATGCAACGGCACGAACCTGTGCTTGGGAGGGACCACAACAAACACCTGATCGGGGAGGAGACGTGCCCTTCTCCTAGCTCGGACCTGAGTGTACACAGCATGGAGTGGCCACATAATCTTTACCAGAGGAGCAAATTACAGAACTAGCTTCCCATATCTGCTGCCTTTGTACTAGGGGAAGCGGCCCCCCGGAGGCACGGCGAGGCACGGCGCGGCGCGGCACGGCACGGCGCGGCGCGGCACGGCCCGTTGAGTAGCGAACCCACCGGGTCAAGCCGCCATAACGGACCCGCGGCACGTGTGGCGCTCGCGTGGTCACGTGAAGGGACGCTGGGTCACCACATGATCCCGGAGTGGTGGGTCACGTGACCGGTGCCTGCGCGGTGCAGGTGCAGTGGCTGCTATGGAGTCGGCGCTGCTGCTCTCGGCGCTGCTGCTGCTCCCGCCGCTGCCGTCCGCCCGCGCCGCTCCCGGTGGGTGTTTCGGGCCGGACCCTTCTGCCTGTTCTCCCCGCTCCTCGGGCCGGACCACTCTGCCTGATCTCCTCCTTCCTTGGCCAGACCCCGGCCCTCCCATGGACGGGACCCTCAACTAGCTTTTCCAGGTCCTGGGCAGGACCCCGAGCTAGCCTCGCTGGGCCGGAGCCCTCAGCCAGCCTGGGGACCACCGGGAGGGCGCTCCGAGCTCCGCGGTCCCAGTTCCCAGGCTGGGTTGTGCCGTACCGGCTGACAGCGCCTGTTGTCGGTTTCCCCCGTGCTGATGGTGCCCCCTCCAGCTGCCCGGGTCGTGTGGCCCGGCCTGGAGGAGCGGCTCTTTCCGCAGGTGCGGGACCACTTCAACTTCGAGACCTACGGCAACGAGACCTTCCCGCAGCGGTACCTGGTGTCGGGTAGGTCCCGTGGGTGCTTCGGGCTGGATTCCTTTCTGCTTAAGCTTTAATTGCCTCTGTATAAAGTAGGTAAAGTAAGAAGCTAGAGCACTGGGCAGCCAAGAATCAGTGTTAGCCACTGGCCAATGCTGCACGAGCCAAGCATTCCCCAGCATTGTCTATATCCTCCTCTCCTTTTCATCCACTTTTTACAAAGGCATGTACTTATAGAACAAGGGGGCCTGGCTTTAAATTGAGAGTAGGCTTAGACAGCACATTAGGAAGGAATTCTTCCCTGTGAGGGTGGGGAGGTCCTGGCACAGGTTATGCAGAGGAGCTGTGGCTACCCCATTCCTAGAAGTGTTCAAGGGCAGGTTGGACAGGGTTTGGAGCATCCTGGGATAGTGAAAGGTGTCCCTGCCCGTGGCAGAGGGGTGGAACTGGATGAGCTTTAAGGTCCTTTCCAGCCCAAACCAGTCTGGAATTCACTCCTTGGCTTCTGTTCTGGCTGTGTGGTGCACAAGGGATTGTGGGGACTGGCCTCTCTGGAGCAACAGTAGACTAGAAGCAGGAGCTGTGTTAGGCTTGCACCAGTGCTGGCTCTGTGTGTGTGTCTTTGGTTGATACCAGCATCTCTCACAAGTGCATGTAATTGAGTGTTCTGAATGCATCAGGAAAAACAGTGACTGAAGTGTTGCACTCGGTACCGATCGTTTTTAGGAGTAAAGGTAACTCCTCTGATACCAGCGGTTTGCATTATTTAAAGTCGTGCAACTGTAGATAGCTTAACCCATGCAAAAGAATGAGCACGGCCAGCAAGGAGTCAGCTGTGTCTTACTTTTGGGTCACTGACAGTAAAAGAGAAAAGGCCTTTTTAAACAGCATGTGACTAAAAATACAGCAATTTCTGTAGCCAGTGTCACATGTTTTTCAACCCTACCTATGCGGAGGAACTGGGGAGTAAATTGCAGGGAGAGAAAAAAAGGTGGACTTGGGAATAGCAACAGACCTGAGCACTGCCCAGCTTTGTGCCCAGCTGCTGCTGCCTCCCAGCTGCATTGGGGTCTTTGGATGCTCCAGCTCACATTCACATTGCCTGTTGTTCTGCAGCTTGTTCAGCACCTGTGCCAAGTTGTGTGTTTCACCAGGCATGAATTCATGGATCAGTTCAACCCAAAGATACGGACACACCAGTGAATTTTGAGAGCATACCCAAGGCTGCAATTTCACTAATTAGGTGGCCCTTTTTGAACAGAATGTTGGGATTACATGGTTTAAAGCATTATGCAACTTCTATTTGTTTTCTTTTAAAGTGTTATATTTTGTCTGTGAGTCCTGGGCAGAGCTGAATAATATTTGTGA